ATATATTTTATGCTTTGTGGACTCCATGGCCTCTATCACATCTACTCAATCTTATGCTAGCACAAAAGCTACCATAAAATGTGTAAATGAATGACAAATGTGTGTCTCAGTAAAGATTTATTTACAAAAAAACACAGCTCTTTGGCTGTATTTGGTCCAAGTGCCATAGTTTGGTGACTGCTGATGCTTAGCAATGCTTCTTAAATTTTGGCATATGTCAGAATCACATGCAGATCCAATACACCTGAGAGACCTAGGCTTGGAAAAGTATAGTATATGGCCTCTGTATTTCTACTGTGTTCCCAATATATGTATTTCCCCTTCACCTATTTCTTTTTTTCTTAGAGTTTTTCATGAAAGAAAACAAGTCATCTGTCATTTCAAGTTTACCACAGACGGCTCTCTCTAGTGGTTTGCTCTGGTTCCAGTTCTTTTGAGGGTTTGTGTGTGTGCATGTGTATGTATGTATAGAGTGGGGAGGGCATGCATCATCACTTACTGATGATTTTGCATTCTTTTGATGAAAGACAAGTAATGGATCATTGTCTTTCTTTTCCTGTTATTTGTAAGAGCAGAACTTCAATTCATTAAATTACCTAATAACCTTCACATTTTACAGATGAGGGAACAGATACCTAGGGATGGAGAAGGGTAGGCCCAAAATCTACACTGGAAATTAATAATGGAACCAGGAATATCATTGGAGGTGGTTTCCTTATTCAGTATTCAGAGTGCATAGAATTCTTAGGATCACTGGACCCTAAAGCTGTGAGGAGATCTTACAGTTCATTTAAAACAGCAGGCCATCATTCTACTAGGTGTCCTTCTCAACCAGAGGTCTCAGAGTGCCACCCTGTGGATCAGACCCAGACCACAATTATGTTTTACATGTTCTGCACTATTTAGCCAAAAAAAAAAAAAAAAAAAGATTTGGCTCCAGATTTTTAAAACTCCAAATGGTTCACTTCCAAGGCTAGGTTTCAGGAAATGAGATGATCTGGCTCTGCTAGACCTGCCTGCCCATGCAACAGTAATCAGCTGGAGTTGAGTAGTGGTTGCTCCTTCAGAGCAGATATAATGGAAGGTTTAGATCAGAGATGATCTAGGAGTTCCCCTTTCTTGAGAAACTAGAACTCTCGTGATGGTATATTTCCAAGGGTTTGGGAAAATCGTAATCTGGAAAATGTCTTCTTTTCTAAATAGGGTGAACACTTCTAACTAGGTCCATTTCCCTCATCTGTTTTACCTGCCTTGCCCTTCTTAGCGTTTTAATTTATGACCTGTAGTCTAATTATGTTCTCCTGCACTGGAGAACCTCCCTGATATACCTACTCCTTTGTTTTAAATTTTGATGTTGAAGAAGTAAGTAGCCATTTCCTCTAGTACTGTGTGATTCACTGTTCATCATACCCTTGTTTTTGGTTTTATCCATCTTGTTAACCCACAGTTTGGGGTGTGATTTAATCTTATTGGCTTTTAAAAAGTGTAATTGAATTGCCAGATACAGAGAAATATAACCCAAAGGAGAGAGGTCACCTTCTAAGTCTCCTTAGAAGGCCAAGAAGGTAGAGTATCCTAAATGGAACACCAGGAAACTTCTTGAGAGAACTAGAAAGGTGGCTTTAGCTTGAAAGGGCACCTGTAGGGACCAGCATTGTGGCTTAGCTGGTGAAACTGCCGCCTGCAGTGCCGGCATCCAATACCCATTCCTGTCCCCCACTGCTCCACTTCTGATTAGCTCTCTGCTATGGCCTGGGAAAGCAGGGGAAGATGGCCCAAGGCCATGGACCCCTGCACCCACGTGGGAGACCTGGATGAAGCTCCTGGCTCCTGACTTCAGCCTGGGTCAGCCCTGGCCATTGCAGCCATCTGAGGGGGTGAACTAGCAAGCGGACAATCTCTCGGTCTCTCCTTTTTCTCTCTCTGTCACTCTGACTTTCAAATAGATAATTTTTTTAAGAAAATGGCACCTATAGGAGTTTTGAACTAGATAAGCTGGCAGTATGGTAAAATGAGACGACTTAAGACTTGGAGATCGGCCCGGCGCCGTGGCTCAATAGGCTAATCCTCCACCTTGCGGCGCCGGCACACCGGGTTCTAGTCCCGGTCGGGGCGCCAGATTCTGTCCTGGTTGCCCCTCTTCCAGGCCAGCTCTCTGCCATGGCCAGGGAGTGCAGTGGAGGATGGCCCAGGTGCTTGGGCCCTGCACCCCATGGGAGACCAGGAAAAGCACCTGGATCCTGGCTCCTGCCATCGGATCAGCGCGGTGCGCCGGCTGCAGCGGCGGCCATTGGAGGGTGAACCAACGGCAAAGGAAGACCTTTCTCTCTCTCTCTCTCTCTCTCTCTCTCTCTGTCCACTCTGCCTGTCAAAAAAAAAAAAAAAAGACTTGGAGATCAGCAAATGCATGTTTGAATCCCTGCCTTGCCATGTGTTCACAAATTCTGTGACCTTGCTAAGTGCTTTACCCTTGGTGAACCTAGGCTTCAAAGCTAAAATACTCTGCCTTTTGGAGTTGAGATGGTTCAGTGAGCTTCTGGAACACGGAGCAAACATCAGCTCCCTTCGAAGTTCACAAAAGGAGATAAGCGAGTGTCCCAGCTTTGACGTTAGTGGTTTAGCCTTCCTGGATCACTTGGTGGCAGCATGGAGATACTTTTCTATTTTAATATCCAGAAAAAAAAAGTCTCACTAAAGAATAAAGGTTAATTGCAGAGGTATTTAAATTGTTGAAAGGGATTCATCACCAGTCTAGCAATATCAAAGGCCCTGAATGGTTGCTGCTCATTACCATCTGAATGGCACCCAGCCTTTGTCAAGAGCTTAACAGATTTCATTAAGATTTGTCTGAGGATTCTGCCCCCTCAATTACCCACTTAGTGTCAAGAACCTGCCTATTGATGGGTCAGTCTTTTAAAGGCCTTTGCCTGGGCTGGTTTGGAAAATTAGTGTTTTGGGTTGGCAGCTGGGCTGCCCTATCTTCTCGTCTCCCTACCCCCACAGCCAAAATGACTACAGCGCTGCATGCCTTTCACTTGGCTGCCTCCAGTACTATTTAAAAGAGCACTGGGAGAGCTCAGTTCCTTTAAAAATAATTAGTTAGTACCTGCTGTGTGCTGGGAACACACTTGGAAGTCCTTTGCTGCCCTATAGGAGAGGCACGTAAATAAACAGAAAATTGCACCATCCTTTGCTTGCCAATGATGTCAGTCAGTAAAGGAGATGGCACCTAATGTGAATCTTAAAAGATAGATAGGTATTCTTTAGATGTAGGGGAAATAGTACTTCTACATAGAGGGATTCACTTGAGCAAAGACATGGATGGAAGTATGAAACCTCATGGCATAGCCAGAAAACTCTAAGTATTTTATTATTACAAAAGTGTTGAAGGCTGGCAGTGATATCAGAACTTTGCCCCTTAAAATATGTATCCCCAAAAGTCCCATCTGGCGTGCCACATATGTTATCAGAATTTGGGGTGCCATACGATATCATCATATCTTATTAATAAGTTCCCAATATTAATAAGCCTGTGTGGGTTCTTGCCTAATATTCAGAGAATTCTGAATACTGGCATAAATGAACGAGGCAGCATGGTACATTTTAAGCTTTTATTCAGTGCGAAAGATGCATAGGAGAGTGAGAGCTTTATCTATAGGAGAGAAGTAGATCTGGGTTTATATACCAGGAACCAGCCACGTGGAAGAGCAGCTAAGCTAGGAAGCATAGGGTGGGTTGGCCCGAGTGTGGAAGATGCATAGAAGAGTGAGGGCTTTATCTATAGGAGAGAGGTAAATCTGGGTTCATACCGAGTTCGAGGAACCAGCCGTGTGGAAAAGCATCCAGGCCAGGAGGGGTGGGGGACCCAAGACCACTCGCCCTGAAGGTTCAGGGCTACCAGCCCCCTACTGGTAAGAGGCCAGGGAAAGGAAAGAGGGCTGAACACACCCTGTCCCAGGCTTTTAATCCGCTTTCAAAGGGGAGTGGTTAATTAACCTGATTGGCTGCTGGGCACTCAGGTGTGGCCAGGTAGGGGCATGAGGTCAGAGGCGTGGTGAAGGCGTGGTCTTCCAGCTCACAAACCTAATCAATTTTAACCTGTATGCCTGTCTACTTCAGGAGTGCCTAGAATGGAGACTCCCAGAGAGGTAATAATAGCAGCAGCTACTTTCCAGGGTGCCAGGTACCATGCCAAAGCAGTTTACCTCGATTTATTCAACACATCTCTGAAGTGGGTACCATTTTGGCAAGTAGAATAAGTGAAACCCAGAGAGGACACAATGAACACTCCCTGTTGTACAGTTGGTGTGAGTGGCAGTGCTAGAAATCAAATCCATGTCAGTGTTAGAGCCTAGCTGTGTATAGGGACTAGAAATAGGGTCAAGTGAAGAACAGCTTTAACTGCCACATTAAAAAGAATTGTGCCTGTCTTATCATTCTTAGGAAGCTGCTGCGGGGAATTTCAGCAAGGAGAGTGACTGGGAATCGGGAAATTTGGGATTAGAGGACCAGTTGTATAGTTAGTGGCTGGTGACTCCAGGCAAATCCCAGTCCTACTTTGGGACTTTTTTTTCCATCTCTAAAGTGAACAAAATGATAAGAATCCCTTTCAGCTCTTGAAGTTTTCACTTCTGTTAACTAGGGGTGGTGGAAGGAATTAGATTCCTGACTAAAGATGGGTAGACACTCTTTATGTGCTTTGCTGTTCTTTGTACATGCTCCTGTGTTCCTCTTGCCTTGAATACCCTCTGGCTTCCTTCCTGCCTCTCCAAATGCTTTGGCTGTAGTCTCTCATGTCTCTCATGTCCCACCTCCTTCAGTGCTGCTGGTTAAGTTAGCTGTATCTCACTTTGGCTCCTAATTATATACCATGGTGTTCATTGTGAGTTGTTTCCTTTTTAGTCCTTTTCTTATACATACTTCGGGCCTCTCCTTTGGTCCAAGGGGGTACATCTTATTTGGAGTACATCTTAATAACCATTTTCTTTCTCTTCTGGCAGTGTGTGTGAGCACAGCAAAGAGAATCTTATGACCCCCTCCAACATGGGAGTGATCTTTGGGCCCACCCTGATGAGAGCTCAGGAGGACACTGTGGCTGCCATGATGAACATCAAGTTCCAGAATATTGTTGTAGAAATTCTAATCGAGCACTTTGGAAAGGTATGTGTTTCCTATCCTCACTACCACCCCAGCAAACATGTTACCGAACCCTAGCCACTTTTACGTTTGTGTTTTCCCTTTGTCTCAACCTGACAATGAAAGGAAATCCTGTTCTGACAGAATGACATTTAATGGTAATTCTGGTCCTGGGAAGCTTACTCATTCAGAAAATATTGCTTGAATATGTTACTTTTTCATTTGTACACACCATGCTTGAGGCTACAGGTATTGAAAAAGTCACTTCTGGGGCCAGCACTGTGGTGTAGTGGGTATGGCCATTGCCTGCGCTGCCTGCATCCCATATGGGCACCACATCAGGTCCCAGCTACTGCACTCTGATATGGCCTGGGAAAGCAGTAGAAGATGGCCCAAGTCTTTGGGCCCCTGTATCCGTGTGGGAGACCTGGAGGAAGCTCCTGGCTCCTGCCTTTGGATTGGCCTGGCTGTGGCCATTGTGGCCATTTGAAGAATGAATCAGTGGATGGAAAACTTCTTTTTCTATCTTTGCCTCTCCCTCTCTCTGCCTTTCAAATAAATAAATCTTAAAAAAAAAGAAATAAAAAGAAAAAATCACTTCTCTGAGCCTTTAAGGAGTTAGTATTATAGTATGGAGACAAATATATAAACAGAGGAAAATGTTAGGCATAGAAGTAGTATGTGTACAATGTAACTATAAGGAAGAAGAGATGTGTCTTCTCACCTATTGTGGGGGCTCATGGCTCAGACCTCTAAGAGGCAGATTAACAAGAGCAAAAGAACACAAATTTATTTAATAAGTTTTACATGACACAGGAGCCCTTAGAAATGCGGAACCAGAGAAACAAGTAAGCTTATGTATTTTTAATACCAAGTTTAACGAAAAAGTAGATGATTGTAAAGAAATAAGATTAGAGGACAAAGGGGCATAATCAGGTAGCTGACTGGGGAGAGCTTAGGAAATGCTGTTTGTTCAGATTCTTCTTGATGTTTCTGCATCTTGCACAGTAAGTTTCTTCCTTTCCTCATGGCTATCTTTGGAATGAGGAAATTATAAGAGCAAAATCCCTGAGTGCTTTAGGGTAAAGATGAAGTAGATTCAATGATGTAATGGCGAGGGAAAGCAATGTAGATCTATAGTGGGGCTTTAATGTCCATTGGAAGGATTTTTGGCTTTGCGCTAAGATGGAGGGGTATGATATGATTTTTTTTTTGACAGGATTATTCTGGCTTCTGTGTGAAGAATAACTGTAGAGGGGAAAAGTTGAAGCAAAGTGACCAGTCAGCTATCTTAACATAATCAAGACATGGGCTTACATTGGCTGTAGGCAGTAACAGTAGAGATGGTCAGTAGTGGGTACATTTAGAATGTTTTGAAGGTAGATTCCCTATGCTTTGCTGGCAAATCTTATGTGGGAGGAGAAGGGAAATCATGGATAACTCTAAAGTTTTTTTTTTTTTTTATCAGAGCAATTAGAAGGATAAAGTAGTCCTTTATTGAGATGGATAAGGCTGGGGGAGGAACAGGTTTGAAAGACAGTATCAGGGTTCAGTTTGGGACATGTTAAGTTAGATGAGCCTATGGAACATGTGAGGTCAGAGAAGAGAACAGGACTAGAGAAATAGAGTTGGCCTTCAATAGCATAGATGTGGTGGTTAAATCTATGTGACTGAATGTTTTTGCTTAGGGAATACTTGTAGCAAAAGAGTAAATGTTACAACAAGCATTGAATTCTCAGTGATGTCAGTGTGAGAAGGACCAATAGAAGAAATAAACAGATTGAGAAAGAATGATCAGTGACAGGCAGCTAGATAGGGAAGCCATAGATTCTTGGGAAAGACACAGTTTTAGAAAGGAAGGAGTAGACAGTAGTTTTGATGTTCCAAAATACCTCATATAGGGAAATATGGAAAATATATAGTGTTTTAAATGTATTTAATTTTTAAAATTAAAAGCAGTACATGCACATGGTAGAAGTTTCAAAAGTTTAGAATAAAGTATAGTCTTCCATTTAACTGTGCCCAACCCTTAGTTCTAATCTTCACTTCAATAGCTTTTTGTTTATCATATCAGAGGAGAAAGCAGTCATATATCCATATAGTTATTGTTACATTTACTAGATTTTATTAATACATACTTTTATTAAATTTTGTATGTAAAGAAGAGAAGTGGAAACTTGATATTTAATAAAAGCAACATCTCAGATAATTGGGGAACAAAAACAGACTTTTTTTTTAAAAAAAGATTTTATTTATTTATTTGAGAGGCAGAGTTACAGACAGAGAGAAGGAGACAGAGACATCTTCCATCTGCTGGTTCACTCCTCAAATGGCTACAAAGGCCAGAGCTGGGCTGATCCGAAGCCAGGAGTCAGGAGCATCTTCCAGATCTCCCACGTGAGTGCAGGGGCCCAAGCACTTGGGCCATCCTTTGCTGCTTGCCCAGGCCATTAGCAAGGAGCTGGATTGGAAGTAGAGCAGCTGGGACATGAACTGGAGCCCACATGGGATGCTGGTGCTACAGGCAGAGGCTTAACCTACTACACCACAGCGCTAGCTCCAAAAGTAGAGTTTTATAGGATTCTGGGACAATTGATTAGCTATTTGGACAAAGATAAAATTAAGTCACTACTTAATGGATATATGGAGTTTCCTTTTTCAGTGATAAAAAAGTTCTAGAATGAGATGGTATTGATGGTTAAACAAAACTGTGAATATGCTAAATGCATCTAAATTTTACACTTTAAAATGGATAACATGGTAAATTTTATGTCTATTTTACATTACAAAGTGCTATTACATTACAAAGTGATATTGTTTACAATTGCAAAATACTTGAAGCAACCTAAATGCCCATGCATAGGAGAATGGTTTAACCAATCATGATACATTCACACAATGGTATATGATGCTGCTTTTAAAAAAAATGAGGAAAACATACTTGCTTCCAGAAAGCTAGAATAGAGATACTTTTCCTTATTATTCCATAGAAGGCAGCTGAAAACCCTTGACAGTATATATAAAAGAAATACACAAGGCTCTGAAATATAGAAACAAGGCAGCGGATTAACTAGGGATCTTGGGACCTGAGGAACCACGGCTGTGAGTCATCTGAGTTTCATTTTCGGTTTTGTAGACATCAACATATATCAGACTGGGTTTTTTTTTTTTTTTTGACAGGCAGAGTGGACAGTGAGAGAGAGAGACAGAGAGAAAGGTCTTCCTTTGCCGTTGGTTCACCCTCCAATGGCCGCAGCCAGTGGCAGGAGCCAGGTGCTTCTCCTGGTCTCCCATGGGGTGCAGGGCCCAAGCACCTGGGCCATCCTCCACTGCCCTCCCTGGCCACAGCAGAGAGCTGGCCTGGAAGAGGGGCAACCGGGACAGAATCCGGCGCCCCGACCGGGACTAGAACCCGGTGTGCTGGTGCTGCAAGGTGGAGGATTAGCCTAGTGAGCCATGGCACCAGCCCTCAGACTGGTTTTGTAGACATCAACACCACAGTGATTGCAGATAAAACAATATATGTCCCTATAAGTGGCTGCTCTTTATACAGAACCTGGAAAGGGAAAATGGAACACAGAAAACTTAGATAGCCTTTCTATTCCAGCCAGACTCCACCGGAAAATAGTGTGGCCCACCCCATGCCTGTGTTAGCCAAAGCCAAGGAAAGAGCCCAGACTTTTACCTTTAATAGTGTATATTGAGGTGCCAGAACCTTCTGCTGAGGTGTTTTAAGAGAAGGCAAAGTGGGAAGCTGAACTTTTGTCCCAACCTGGCCATAGTGACACACTATTTCCTAATCCCCGTGGTATCTGTGAAGATCAAATGCGGTGCCTGGGCTCAGATGCCCATTTAGCACTGGAGCAGTGCCAGACCAGGCCTGAACTTCCACCACCACTACAGTGTAAAGTGAAGGCCATGTGGGGAACAGTTCTGAGATACTTTTCCCCCTCCAGACAGAGTGGTGCCAGCAGGGACCTATCAGTGAACCTGAACTTGCATTCCTGCCTAGCCTTTTTCGCTCCATGTTCATGTCAGTGGTGGCCACGTGAGAAATGTAGACTTGTACTCCATCCTGGCAGGAATGAGGCAGTGCTCCTTCCCTGTGGAAGTAATGTCAGAGGAGACCTACCATAACAACATCTAATTGAGAGCTGGGCCCTCACAAAACCCCAAATGTATAGCCCTTGGTGGCAAATCATACCAAGAGCCAGAAAAAAATTCAACATAAAGATGAAAAGGCCTTCAACACACATCAATACTAAGATAACACAGATGTTAATTATCTGACAAGAATTTTAAACCAGCCATCATAAAAATGCTTTAATGAGCAATTAGGAATATATTTGAGACAAATGACAAAATAGAGAATCTTAGCAAAGTAATAGAAGATATAAAAAGCCAAATGGAGGGGCCAGCGTTGCAACACAGCAGGTAAAGCCTACAGTGCCAGCGTCCCATATGGGTACTAGTTAGAGTCCCGGATGCTCCACTTCCTATCCAGCTCCCTGCTAATGGCCTGAGAAAGCAGTGGAAGATGGTCTAAGTGCTTGGGCCCTTTCTACCCATTTGGGAGACCCAGAAAAAGCTCCTGGCTTTGGCCTGACTCAGCTTTGGCCATTACGGCCATCTGGGGAGTGAACCAGCAGATGGAAGACCTCTCTCTTTCTCTGTCTTTCCCTCTCTCTTTAACTCTGATTTTCAAATAAATTAATTAATTAAAAAACAGGTGGAAATGATAGAACTGGAAGACGATGTTAAGTTTAAGTCAATGTATGGGCTCAGCAACAAAATGGAGATAACAGAGGAAAGAATAACTGAACTTAAAGTTGGAATAGAAATTATGCAATTCAAAGAGCAGAAAGTTAAGAGAATTTGTTGCTAGCCGAATTCCCCTAATAGAATGGCTTAAGGAAGTTTTCTAAACGATCGGGATACAATAAGAGAAGGAATTTTGGAATATCAAGAAGGAATAAAGAACTGCAAAAAGGACAAAATTATAGATAAATTGAATGGACTTTCCT